CCATCCATCCTCTCACCCATCCATCCTCTCACCCATCCATCCATCCTCTTACCCATCCATCCTCTTACCCATCCATCCTCTTACCCATCCATCCATCCTCTCACCCATCCATCCATCATCCATCCTTTCATCTATTCATCCATTCATCCATATCCATCCCTCCATCCATATCCTTCACTCCATCCATCCATCCATCCACCCACTCACCAACCTATCCATCCAGCTGTTCGTCATCCACCCACCRATCTACCAACCCTTCGATCCATCCATGATTCTTATTCCATCTTAGTTGCTAATGAGTTGCTACATGAAATTCCTTAAAATAAGCAGGGCCACAAGAATATTCATGATGAAAGACCCTTGGGTAGTGCAACTTCTTTTAAACCAAAATCCCCAACTTTGTGCTGTACGTACATTATTGTACTTATATTTTCTTTCGTTCATTCTTTCTTCCAGTCAACTTTAGGCCATCTCCTTCAAAACTGTAAGACAGTGGCATTTCATTTTCCTGCTACAGATCCTGAGTCCCTCAGGGCTCTTTATCGAGTAATGGCTCTTAATGGTGTGAAATTCGTAAGTGCGAATTCGTTATTTTTCAGGCTTCCTGAGGAATTGTTTCTTCATAACCATCATATATCCATTTATAACTGGTTTAACTGGTTCAACTCTACCTAGCCTGTTTACAGCCCCTTCCCACCCCTCCATCATGGGAAAAATGGGGAGAGAGCTCCCTCCCTGTTTTTTTTTTTCCTTTGGGGGGCCCGGGGGGGGGGGGGGGTGGTAAGTAGCTGTACACAGGCTAGGTAGAGTTCGACCAGTCGAACAAATGCCCACCACCTAAATAAAACAAAAAACAAAAAACAGGTCCCTATTTTGGACGTAGTTTAGACCTTGCAGTAAAGATTTACTAACCCAGTCTCTGAACAACAGGCTGGATGTGTGCATTTTACACCGGTTCCTGGATGTGATATCAAGGTCCTCCTCCTAATCTACAGTCCAAAGAAGAAAGCCTTTGTAGGGCTCATTCCTCATGATCAGGTAAGACCACCTGATGGTCGTAATAATGAGCAATTATCGCGATCGAAAAAAAAAAGTTTATTTACTTATTTATTTTTAATTTCAATTCATTTATTCATCCATTTAATTTTATTTTGGTACCGCTTTCTTTTGTTCATTTGTTGGTTAAGTTTATTTATTTATTTGCTTAGTTTTTTTGTTATTCATTGATATTTTTCCTCTTTTTTCCCCTTAGGGAAATTTTGTCAATGGAATAAGGGTATGTAATCCTTTAGTGGTCCGTTTCTCCATACAAACATACCCAATCACAGTCTTTCTCTGTTAGTTAGCCCATACATATTTGGGTTGATGTAACAGCAGAGAAGATAGCAATTTTAGAATTAGCACAACATTATAGAGTTCTAAACTTACACATTTAACATACTCACATACTTCTACGCACAGGCTTTTGGCTACCAAACGAGCTTTTACAAGCCTGTTTTGGTAAAACCAGCAGCTTCACATCAAAATGTGTTGGCTTAACATACGAAAGTTAGTGCATAGAGGTATGCGAAGACATTAAATACGTTCATACTTCAGGGGCRGATCCAGGGAGGGGTGCAGGGGGTGCGTACCCCTCCCTGGTTCGACTTTGTGCCCCTACTTCGAAGATAACCTTTACTGTTTTTTCCCTTTGATTCTAAGGGGTGCACCCTTCCCTGGGTTAACTTTGTGCGCAGCACCCCTCCCTAAACAAAATCCTGGATCCACCCCTGTACTTTTGCTCTTTGCGCTGTAAAGGTTGTGTGAGAAACATCAAAACCTGTCCAGGGTAATAAACCTTTAAGGTTAAAACTCTTTAATGTTGTCTTGATTCTAAAATATTTGGGTTGTCAAAAAATAACTGGTTAGTGCTTTTGTCGCTAGGAATAGGAAAACACCTTGGACAATTATTCACATGTCTCTATCACTGCAAACTGACTGTTCAATGAATTTCGTATTTATTTCAAGATCATATCTGCTGTATCTACAGTACTTGTTTATTTTATTTTGTTTTATTTATTTACTTTTGTTTGTTGCTATTTTCATTTGACAATGTTCTTGTAATTAGGTGTAATTTGTACAAACATTTCACGTGATTTCAACTCTCATTTTTTTYCTGTATATTTCAGACTGTACTGCAGAAGTATCGACAAGACCAGATTAAAAAGGTAGAATTGATATTTAGGAAAGCAATTGTATATTCTTTGGTATGCTGCTCTTTCTAGTGCTATAAGGGATAAAATAGCTATTCACCATTTTCATATCCAAATATCACATCGCAGGTTTTGGGGAGGGGGAGGGGTGTTTGCTACAGTAGGGAAAAACTGCATGCGTTTTTTTTATTCTGGAGACTAACAAGAAGATGTTGCAAAGTGCATGTTATATGATAAAGTTTTGACCTTGTTCCTTACTCGTTATCATAATATTTCTATGGTGCTTTATTCCAATTCTTTTTATCATTTGAATAGTTTCAGCTTCAACGGCAGCAAATGATGCAACTTCGACAGCAACAATTGCAGCACCAGCAGCAGCAACAGTCACAGCAATTTCCAAACGCATTGCAACAGGTTAAGAATTAATGATAACTTGAAATACGATTAATAGTTCAATCGAGGGGAAAAGTATAGCAAGAAAGAAAAGGAAGGAAGGTCGGTCGGTCGGATGGACGGACGGACAGATAAACGGACGGACGGATGTCCTATAGAAGGGAGGAAGGAAGGAAGAAAGAATGAAAGAAAGAAAGAAAGAACGAGCGAGCGAGCTACTTTGGGTTGATGGTCTAACTATAGATCTGTCCACTCTTACCCCTATGAGCTAAGTTCTGACCAACAGAACACAGGCCCCATACAAAAATCAGCCACACTTAATTGTATAATGATATGTTTTTTTTAATCCGATTTTAACAGTTTGGCCAATCCAACCCAGGACTTCAGCCAACCCAAGTCAGCCTACCTAACACACAGGTAGACGAACAGTCTCTCATGTCATCAGGGGTGAGCACCATGCTGCAAACAGCTGTACCTTCTCAAGCTCAATCAATGGACGGCATTACTCCTAGCACTCAAAMAAGCATGGCATTTACCACTGGAACTGTTGGCGGAACCATGACAACGACATTACCAACGATGCCTCTTGATCAAGAACAAAACATTGTGAGTAAAGAAAGTATTCCCTTATATATTATTCCCTTATTCGGTGACTTGCACTAAGAGGACACGTGATCAAATCCGCCATTGTGGCTGACATTCTATAGGATTTTAGCTATGTGAGAATGTAAAAAAAGATGGCGGATTCGGGTAGTTTTTTTAGCGATGAACGTTGGCTAGTTAATAGCAAAAATCTACTTTAGATATCTACTATGAATATTTTTTTTGCGAGAAAAATAGGAATTTTATCTAAGTCGTAAAGGTTTTTGTAGGTTGG